CTGACTAATTTGATTCTTCGTACATTGAAGATCAAAACACCTTTGGTGATGTACATTTCGGTAAACTTCATTTCTACTATCTGTATTTCGATAATGTTGACTTCGGCGATCTCGCATTCGGTAATGAGGCGCACAACCCTTAAATTTGTCCTTGCCAATAATTTTTGTACTGAATTTGATCAGAAAACAAGACCCAAAATATCACTATCAGATATTTAAAAAAGTTGATGATTTCTTGAATTTGATTAATAAAACATTCTCTCTTCTAATCCTTAGGTAAGTGCGTGAAATTTACATTTCACACTCTTTCAAGATTAAAAGACAAAATACAATTATAATCTTAAAGCTTTTATTTTCGTAACAACAAAATGTCATTTGTCTACTTGTGTGCAGAGACAAAAGAAATATACTCATGCACATTTAATGTCGTTGTATTTGCCATTCATTTTTATTTTTATTGCATTTCAAAGTAGTATTTCAATAAAATAGAGAAATAATGATAGACGTTGTATATTATTATTATTTAGATGCATGTAGTATACTAGTGACTGATACAGAACGAATAAAGATTGATTTTTATTTATTATACTAATCATCATTTTAGCAACAACTAAGGGACATGGTGCATCTAAAAGGTCTTTTCTCTAATAGGTAAGCAAATATGACATGCAAAAATAAAACAAGAAGAAAGAAATATGCATTCCGGTCTTGTACAAGATTTACGATTTTTACTTATTCCTACTTTTTATCTGATACTTTTCAGTTCAAAAGTCATTTATTTGTATAAGCAAACGAAGTTTGATTGTATAATGTTTCAAACTATAGACAATCTATTAATGAATATTTATTTTCAATAGACTAAAAAAAAATCAATATTGTTGACTTTAGAAAAGTGTCGATATGATTTACACTGTAAGTCTTCATTTTTCATCGTCTATTAAACAGAATGATTTTTCTAAGATAATAAAACTCAACAAAATTAAGAAGTGTCGTTTAGGAAGATAAGCAAAATAACAAAAGCCTTCATTAGATATTTATGTTTTCTCTTTGTTTTTTTTCTTATCTCTTAAGAAATATTCAGAGAATATATCAGTTTATGTTTTTTTTTGATATACTGAAGAATTAAAATCATATTTATCGATAACTACCCAGGTAGACAAACTATTGAGAAAACGCGTTTAAACACACAAAAATTGGCCTAAAGTCAGCAAAAAATGGGCGTTTTTGGCACATAGTAGAGAACCTCAAGTGTGAGCCAAAAACGTCCACTTTTTGCTGATTTTAGGCCAATTTTTGTGCGTTTAAACGCGTTTTCTCAAAAGTTTCTCTGCCTGGGTAACACTCTGTGTACTTGATATAATGAGTTTTGATTAATCATTTCTAAAATTTGGTAATATAAACCGTACACATCTCTTACATGGACAAAAGAAAAACATTCATGTCGAGGTATTTCGAAATCGACAACATTAATCCCGTTTGTTTAACTCAATTGTTTGTGTCTAAAAAAATATATAATGAAGCAATCTTCCTGTGATTAGCAACAGTAGCACCATTGTGTCTTACATTTTAATCTCACAGAGATAGTCCTAACATCTTTTATTATTCTATCGAAAATTAATTACCTTTAGAAAACGAAGGTACATTACAGCTTTTCTTCTTTTTATTTCAAATAAATTGATTATTTAGATTCATTTTTCTATTTACATTTAGACGACAAATATTTATCTTTACTGTTGCTGCTATTTCTGTTCTTGCTATCATTGGTGTTATTACTGGTCTTGTTCTTGGCTTAAGAAGATGTAAGTATAGATCTCTTATCTATGATTTCCATATGTTGCTGTTTATTTAATAAGGAAATTGATAGTATATACTCACAGTTTGTCGTTTGGTTTACAAAGAAGTTTGCCATCTCACTAATTTGAGCTTATTAATCAATACTATGTTAAATCAGTATATGTCATTTTTCAAAATATTTGTCCATATTCTATGAGATGAAAATAATTTTCAATGATACTCTATTCTTTTGTATCGTCCATTAGAATAAGAAATTTTAATAGAAAATAATGTTATATTTTTATTTTATTTCTTAACACTGTTTGTCTCATGAGGGAACCTTCTCCAATGTCTCCTTCTGATTTCAATATTGTTTGTCTATGGATACTACATAGTATTCTAGCAAAAACCCTAAAAAGGATTTCAGTTCTCATTGAGACTTGTTGAAATTATTGAATTTCCAATATGTTTATTTTCCAAAGATTTCTGTAGGACCTCAGGTTTTCCAACGAAATCCTGTTTTTGAATTTTCTCCGAAGATACGAATTATTGAAAATATTCTTGTATTATTCACAAAAGTTTCAAAAAGCGTCAATTTTTGAGAACTTCATAGCCTTGAAGATAAGAAGTCTACAAGTCCTGAAACTGTTCATAAAAGCAACTGCACATAAGACTTTCAAATGAAAATAATTTCAAGAAAACATTCAAAACTACCTTTGACCAATCGATATCCTAAAATTTCAACATATAGCTGTCTCTAGCACACTATGCAGTTTCTGTAGGGAAAAAAGGTCATTGAAATTGAAAAGAAACATCTAAGATGATCACACGTTGGTAATATGTAAACTGTTTTAAAATTATTTTTATTGAGTACTGTTTTCTTTATACGTTGAATTTATTTTCTATTTCATTGATGTAGCTTCCCTGAATGTCGAAGAAGAAGTATGTGGCGCGGGCCATGAAACTTATACTATAAATGGTTCATCAATTTTGGGAAAATATTCTCGAGCAGCTGTAGCTGTTGATAATAGTGAATGTTCAACAGTTGGACGAATTATCTTAGAAAAAAATGGTACAACAATGGATGCTGCTTTAGCAGCAGCTATTTGTAATGGTGTTATGAATGCACAGTCAATGGGTATTGGTGGTGGATGTGTTATAACAGTTTATTCAAAGTAAAAGAAAAAACATCACTTGCTTTTTTTTAGAATTTCTTTTTTCTAAATTATAACTCATAGGGAAAGAAACAAAACCTATAGTATTATTGGAGTAAGTTCAAAATAATAAACGAAAAGAAAAAGGATTTTTATTGAAAAAAAAACTTTTAGAGAGAAAAAGCACCATTAGCTGCTAATTCAACCATGTTTATTGGTAGAGAAAATATGTCTGTAGCTGGTAAGAATTTTGTTAAAGAGAACAACTAGAGGTATAAGATTCGTATTTAAGGTGGATTAGCTATTGGAGTACCTGGTGAATTACGAGCTTATGAAAAGGCTTATAGTGAATTTGGTGGAGGTGTATCATGGAAAGAACTTTTTCAACCAACAATTCAATTATGTCGAGAAGGTTTTCGTGTTAGTGTATCACAAGCGCAAGCTATTAAACAAACAACACGTGTCATTCTTAATGATCCTGCATTGAGGTTTAGAATTAAATAAAAGAAAAAGTGATATATAAATATTTTATTATAGAGAACTTTTTGTAAAAAATCCAAATACAAATGAATTATATGGTGCTGGTGATTTAATGAAACGACCAAAATTAGCTCGTACACTTGAAATAATAGCTGAACAAGGTGCTAATGCTTTTTATACAGGCGAATTAGCTGATAAAATTGTTAAAGAAATTCAAGATCGAGGTGGAATTATAACAAAACAAGATCTTGCTGATTATAATGTTGATTTTCAAGAAGCATTAACTATTGATCTTAATAGTTCAATAACTGCATTTACAACACATGCACCTACAAGTGGACCTATTCTTACTTTTATTTTAAATATTCTTCAAGGTATTGAAATATTTGTTTCAAATTAAAGTTTGTTTGATTTTTCTGTTAAATTAGGTTATGATATGCATGAAAATGATTTAAAAACACCAACAACATCTTCTTTATTTTATCATCGTCTTATTGAAGCATTTAAATTTGCTTATGCAAAAAGAAGTGAACTTGGTGATCCATCAAAGATAAATATTACTGAAGTACAGAGAAAACAAATATTGAATTTTTCTTTCTTTTTATAAAAATATTGAATAAATTTTAGCTTATTCGTAATTTAACGTCAAAAGAATATGCTAACGATATACGATCACGAATTAAGTATGTTAGTAACAAAAAGAACGGTAAATCGATTTATTTAGTTTGTTATTTAGTGATGATAAAACATTTGGTTTTGAATATTATGGTGGTACATGGTTAGATAAAATGACAACAGGAACAGCTCATTTATCAGTTGTTGGACTTGATGGTGATGCTGTTGCATTAACATCAACTGTTAATCTTTAGTATTCTTTTTTAATTTTAAAAAATATTCTTTTATTAATATTGTTTTATATTAGTTTTGGTTCAAAAGTTGTTGGTCCCGAAACAGATATTATTTATAATGATGAAATGGATGATTTTTCAACTCCAAATACAACGAATGCTTTTGGTGTACCAGCAAGTCCAGCTAATTATATAGCACCAGGAAAACGACCTGTTTCATCTATGGCACCTTTAATTATAATGGAAAAACATAATCAACGTATACAACAAGTTTTAGGTGCTAGTGGTGGTACACGAATAACAACATCCATAGCTCAAGTATCCATGCTTAACTTATGGTTTAATGATGATATTAAAAAAGCAATTGATTCTCCACGTCTTCATTCACAATTATTACCGCAAGAAGTTATTGCTGAAAATGGTTTTAATTATGTAAATCCGTTTTTCTACAGATTACTGATTTTTTTTTAAATTTAATTGTAGGATATATTAAAACGATTGAAAGCTCGTGGTCATAATATAACATGTGGTGCTTTTGGTGGTTCTACAATACAAGGTATTGAATGGCGTGATGAAGTCAATCAATACTGGGCTAACTGTGATATACGTAAAGGTGGTGCACCTGATGGAATATCTTAAGAGTTTATTGATCTTTTTTAATTTAAAAAAAAACTATTTTTGAAACTTTGATTGAAATACTTTATGATATTCATGTCAGTGAACAACTTCAGTTCATTTTCTAGAAAAATATGCAACTAAGTTTCTCGTTGTCAAGGAGAAATACTAAGAATTTGGTGAAGAAACTTCAAATCAGACTACCATACGTATTTGTCATCTTTATTGTTCTTCGCTCAGAGAAGGGAATAATAGTACAGAATATTCACATTTAACCTCGATTGTTGGATTTTAGGGTCGATTATGAACAAGAATCGTTTTTTTTCAATCATTTAAGTCCAAATAAAAGCAGCAAGAGAGAGTAATTCTATTTCATATTTCCTGATTTAACCTTTTCTCAATGATTTTTTTCAATAATAATAATCGCTTTGTATGGCTCATTGGTGGCGTAGAAGACGACCAAAAAAGTTTTCATTTGCTAATATTTAATATTCAAGAGCAGTTCAATGAAATTTTTGTAGAACAGCTTGAACAATAGAATATGTAGGTGCAGTGCTTAAACTATCATAGTGTGAAGGATTTTTCAAAAAAAAAGAGACATATCAGTTGATTTGAAGAGAGAATTAATGTAGTACAAAATCAATCATGATCATATTGATTACTACAATACATGATTTTCTTGTATTATTGGACATCATAGAAACAATTACTTGGCAAAGAAAGAATCAAAGATATTTCATTGATTGAAGAAAACAAACTAAAATGTCATTATCTTGAATATTTAGAACGGTGAATATGAATAGAGATTGAAATCGAGTAATTAATATCTTTTTATTTTTAGAAATCGTCATCTTGAACACCATCTGAATATTTTAACGAAGTAGTTCAAGCAGATTGAAATATTAATAGTCTTGATTTTTCTCATTCGAGTAAGAAAAGTTGATAGTTACAATTGAAAGTAAAAGTTTCATAACTATCAAGTTAACACATTAAACCTTGAATCGTTACGGCATATTTATGCTGAATCATTAAAGATATTTAGGACGTAAAATATAAATGAGAAATAAGGAAGTCAACATTTACTAAGAATAACTATCACAAAAACAGTTTACTGACGAATTATGAAATTGATAGATTTGCTTCTCTCTTTGATCGTTCTACATGAAAAACACTTTTTTTCTCAAGATATTTAAATGTAAATTTTGTTAGAAAGTTTCTACGCGAATATTTTCCTAAGCGAGAATCATTACCACAAGTGGAACTAAATGACATTCGAGTTTCACTCGACTGCAAGATGCGTCGGAGACTTTCAGTGTCGATAGTACAGATGAATTGATATTTTCTAATAAACGAAACATCTTTGAACGATTGAATATGGAACAGTTTCCTCCAAAGGATAGCCACGCTGTACTAGAATCAGAGCTTCACTTTTGCCGCTGTAAATCGAAAAATCTACGCTTCGACTAATCAAGAAAAGAGAACATCATATTAAAGATCACAAAACTGATGTCATCAATTCAATCATGAGGTTTCATTTTCGTATTTGAACGAGTATTTTCTGACTTTCGCTTCTTGAGATTGTCGGGACAGAATACAATAATTTTTTATGTATATATCGCGAAAGGAGGAAAAGAAAAACGCTCGCAAACGACTGTATTAACTAGTCAATCAATTCACCATTTTATTTTTAACGAACTTTACTTTTCTTAATACCGTTGATTTCAATCAATTTTGAAGATCACTCAAAAATATTTATCATCGTTATACACAGATAGAAATAATTATTCGAACATATTGCCAATCAAACCTATACATCAAATTTTCGCTGGTTTTCACCAATTTTTGTACACTTAGTTTGGCGAATAATACTATGTCAGTATTTGATACTGCTGATTAATCAAATTTAATTCATAAAAAAGCAATGTCTTTGTCAAAAATTTCTTGATGCTGATCTTGAGAATTAAATAGCAATAATTGAATATCGTCTTTATATGGAAATAATTATACGAAATTATATTTTTAATATTTGTAAAGGTAATACTCTTTGTTGAACGAATTATTGAACACTTTTCTATTCTTGTAATATCGAATCTATTGACTGAATATAATTCAAAAGGAAAACAGCTTGGATGGCCTATTTCCTGAAAATAAAATGAAATTTATAAACAATTAATTTTTATTTATTCCAATGATTAATATTTCATATTAAATATCACTGTTCGAATTCCGTCATGAAAATAGTCTTGCTTGATCTAATCTACTAAAATATATGAAAACCCACAAAAATCTTATACTCAAATGCCTATTCTGAATGTGAAAAGTTGAGGATAAAATTATATATTGTGTAACTAATCGTTCAAGATCAAATAAGAATATCTTAAAGAAACTTCATTAAAATTATATCATGCTAGACTTTGTATCACATCCATTAAATGAATGAATTTCATGAAGAACTAATTCTAAGTCATGCATGTAGAGAGATGAAACTCTTCTTCGTTTACTTATCTAACTCAATTTCTTAAATAGACATAAGTGATTTAACTAGTGATGAACTATGAAGTGATACTTGAAGACAATTGATTCAAACGGCTCATGTTAATACATGAACAATGACATATAGAAGTTGTTATAAGAGTATTAAATAAAAATTCATCAGCAACTCGACAAAAAACAATGATGGATAGTAATATTAATGTTGAAGATGTTTATTGAAAAGAAAGTGAATGCATGTGTCGTATTAACATAGCATATTAACAAATATTTTTCATTCGCTTTTTTGTTGGTTATGGACGAATGATTCATTTTTTTGTGGTGTTAGTTTTTGTGTAATGTTGATAACACAAACAAAAATCATTTATTGTTATGTGTGTACACTGGATACAAAAGATTATTTTAGTTCTTTTGTGTAATGATGTTGCTTGTTGATTTCTTTTGCAGACAACTATTGTACCTAATGAACGAAAGACTGATGGTGAATGCATACGGCAATAAGGCAAAAATATCTTGCAAGAGAGAGGATTTCAAGACAGAAGAACAGAAAAAACGACACCCATCAGAATGAAATCGAAGATATGAAACTTTTCAGTAGTCAAAAAAGTATTGAATGGAAAGAAATTACCTAGAATAGTGGCAAGCATGACTTGAATGTTTTTAACGGCAACAACTTCTTCAAGTGATCTTATTACTTAATATTTTTACGAAGTGCTTGACTTAAGAAATGTATGAACTATAATTAACATCTCAGAGACATATTTGAGAAGTTTATATTGTTAGTTATTCAAAACTGATTTCAAACGAAAATTACTTGAGCAAATGATTAGAAAATTTTGAAAAAAATATGATTTTTTCAAACAGGAAGCTAGAAATCGACCAAGTTATTTTGATTGGATCATGCTCTTGAACTTATCTTCCACTTCATAGTTAATCCGCATATATGCTCCAAAGGTTGATATAGTCGAAAGATCAATGGCGTACGATCTAATAATCGTAAAAAACATGTGAAATTTTTTTTATTGAATTTTCATCTATTCATTTTGTTTTAGATAACATGTGAGTATATTGTTTATAGAGAGCACTAGAGTTCTTATAGAAAATAAAGTCATTTGTTGCACTTTTCTGAAGATAGTAGAAAAATAAGGAAAAATGAAATGCAATAATCGAAAAGAAAAAACCATGAAGTTTCACTTTCGTTCAAAAAAGAAAATTCAAAGACAAAATAGAAAATCGAAATAAAACTTTGAATTTCTAATATTTTGATCATAGAAAAACAAATCAATTAATATGCTTATTCTTTTAAACTTTTCTCAATGATATTCATGGTTGAATCGATTGATACATCAATCTTTGAATTCACACTTCCTATATTTTATTTCTAAAACAGGCGTCATTCTTTCGTTGTTTATTTCATGTCAGTGACACTACTGCGCTAACGTTTTGCTTTCAAAGAAAAAAAACTTGCGAACAATTACTACTATACAGTGCTTCACACCGTAATTCCAATATCACAACAATACTACTTTTCATCAGTCATAAAAGTTCAAAGTACAGGAAAAGAAATCGATGGCAGTGCTTTCAATATTCATTCGACTACTAGATCTACATCGAGAAACAAAACTATTCGACCTATTTATATTTTTCTTGTGTCGAACAGTTTTTGACTAGCAAGTAATTACACTTGTGATGTGAAATCTTATCATCTGAATATTAATCACATGACAAATGCGAATACATATAACATTACAGTAACTAATTTGTATAAAATTACGAACATAGTATCGAGCAGTCTTACCACGAATCTTAAGAACATCTTTTTTATCTGAGATTATCACACACAAGACTCAATTCAATCAGAAACATTCGATTAGGTCCCGTTTCGTCGAAAGCTTAATTGATTTTCCTGTTTCGTCGAAAATGTATTTTTCTTTCATTCCCGTTTCGTCGAAAAAAAAAATCTAATTAATCAATGAATAATAGATTATATCATTTGATGAGATTTTTTCGTCATACTAATTACGAATAGTGCCTAATTATTCGTAGATAAATTTGTCAAAAAAAAAATTATTATAGAGAAGTTTTAATTTCATTGGAAATTCTTCCTTTTTACATTTCATTTCATCAGCATCATGATAATGTGATTTCTTCATGCTTGCTAGATTGGAACTATATTGTATAGCACGTCCAGGACATGAACGATTTTAGCATTTCCAATAAACAGTTGTGTTTAAAATTTTATCTTGTATGCAGCGAAAAGTATCAAGTAATAAAGTTGGTTTATTACGGTTACTTTCAACAATAGATAGCATCGTTTTGTGTAATAATGAATGAATTTAACAAAAAAAATGAATTTTCCCTTTTTACTCCACATATATTTACTTTTGTAAAATCACAGATTACTACCTAGTATAGCGATATCAATTAGTTTCTTT